AATCAACCTCTTGACTCCCTTTTATTTTCTATGGTTATTTCTTAATAATTTTATGTTCACTTCCTGCTTGTCCCGACTCTTGACCTATGGTTGAGATTCTTTAATCCTGTTGAAAATATTCAAGCAGAAAACTCTTGGATTAAAGGTGTGTGCTAGGGCTCAACTACACCACAACTAGAAACAGGTTTTCCCAGTAAATAACATAATCTAGGGGTTCATAGCATGATCAAGTATCCTGCAACAAACTAGTTTATAATTATTCCTTAAGTTTTCATAAAATAGACAATAAGATGGGCTTTTAAACTAGTGCTGTTACCTCTATCTAGTGAGTAAGAGACAACTTGCTCAGGCTGAGTGGCAAAAGCACCATGGCCCTTTCCAGACCTGGAACTGGGGCCACCCTTAACCAGGTCTGCCCTGTCGGCTTCAGAGTCAGTATGGCAATGAGAACAATCTTTTTTAGTTCAGTATGTTCCTCCCAATCATCCAATACAGGTTCGATGTATCCTTGAAGTTTACAAAGCAAAAAGTATAAAAATGCAAACATTCTTCTTTACACTACTCACTTTGCCAACTCTCAACTCAAATACTGTATAACAGTTTCAAGCTGAAACACTGCATCCTGAAGGAAGCTCCTGAAGCCAAAGGCAAACAACTCAAAATAGCTTCAGGAAGTTTCTGAAACTGACCAGATTCAGTAGGCCCCTCCCTGTCAGAGTAAACAAAAAACACTGAAAGTCCCTCTCCAGAAGGAACTGAGCTGCAAGGAAGACTCATAGGAGAAAAGCTGCAAAAAAGACCCTGAGACCAGACAAGCTGACTGAAGAAGCAGAAAGCAGCAGAGCTGCCTGAGAGATGTTTTGACTCACTGAGCTATCTGGAAAAGACACTCTCCAATTTGTTGAGCTCCCTGCAGGCTGTACAGTGTCCTCTAGGTTCCCAGATGCTTGTGAGCTGTCACACATGATAAGGTGGGCTGTGGACATGCAGCTGTCTTTTCTGCTCCTGTAAGTTACCCCTCACCCACATTCTGTAAGTAACTCCAATAAACTCATTGGTTCACCAAAGTTGGATCCATACCTTGGTCTGTTGTATATTGTATATACTTATTGTATATAGTTGTATATACTTATTGTATATAGTTTTTCTTATATTAGTTATAGCCTTTTTTTTAATTTTAGACAAAAAAAAAAAGGGGGTGGGGGATATGTGGTGATAGCTTGCTTGTACAAATAAAGTCTGTCTGAAGGTCAGAGAATGGAAATGGCCACTAGCTAACCATTGAGGTCTGGAGGTCTGTACAGAGAGACAGGAAGTGAGGTGGCTGGGTGGAAACAGGATATAAGCAGGGAGAAACAGGAACTGACTCTCTTCTCTTTTTAGACTTGAAGGAGGTGAGGTGTGGCAGTGGCTTGCTTCTTCTCTCTGACCTTCAGACAGGCTTTATTTGTACAGCAAGATATCACCACAGTTGATATCTGGGGTGAGTGGACGTGTGTATTGCATCTCCCCAGAAAACATCTTGACACACAACTTCTACTAACAGGAGAACCAGCTGTGCACTGTGTGTGTAGCACTGCCTAGAACAATATCTATCTTCAGGGCAATGGGAATGCATATTTAAAGGAGCTCTACATGGGAAATACAAAACAAAACTTTACTTTGTTCAACTTCCAATTCTATTTAAACTAATACAAAGATTTTCAAATGCAAATTTAATTTTATGTACCGAGGAAATACAATGAATCCACTACACCTAGAAAATTTATAGTTGGGTTTTTTAACTAAATACTTTATCATTTCTGTGTATAATCGTTGTGTGCATGTGTGTGTGACTTGATGCTAAAGATCGAACTTAGAACTCTGAACATCCCTTGTCAAGCATTCCACCACTGAGATATCATCTCCAGTCCCCACCTTTTTTTTCCCCCTTTTCTTCCTGAGGTAAGGTCTTGCTAATTAGCTCAGGCTGACATCTACTCCAGGGTCCTCTTGCCTCAGCCTCCGAAGTGCTAGGAGTATAGGCATGTGCCACTGTGTAGGAATTATGGGTCATTTTACAAAGCAAGAGTCTGTGTAATAAATGCTGTCTCTCAATTTTTGAGAAGGGCTGTGATAGGGTCTGCAGTGTAAATGATCAGCAGAAATAAATGGTCAAATTGGACCATAATATTATTTTTTACTGTTTTTATCATTTTACTTGGATATTAAGTAAAGATCCAACTTGGGCTTCATTTACTTCTGCTTGGGCCATGAAATAATTGTGAACCACCATAAAACAGATCTTTGCTAAACATTTATAGTATCAAGTTTATATTCATGGCAATCATGCTTAAAATAGTAGTAGGGGAAAAAAAAAAGCCTTTTGTAGTTGTTGTTTTAAAGTCCCAGATTTAACAAATGTCAGAAGACAGCCTTGACTTTATCTCCCTTCCATATTCTGAAGGATTAAAAAAAAAATTAAAAAACACAACATTATCTCTACTGTACTTGAAAACACAAGCCCCACAGTGGTTTCTCTGAAAGACCTAAAAGTATATGAAGCCCTGCATATTCTAGAAGCTAGGACATTATTCATAAAGCAGACATTATTAGACAGTGGCCAACAAAGACCCACAGGGTTTCTTCAGTTATACACACAGCCAACATATAGTTCAACTACTTCCCAGCACAGGGAGCCACCTGGAAACAGAACATAGTTTTGTGCCCTGAAAGAGCTTCTCCAATTCTCCAATGAAAGGTTCAGAAATATTAATACCATCTCATAGACTTTAGACCTTAAAAAATAAATTTGGTGGAGAAAAAGCTCAGCAGTGGTTAAAAGCACTGACTGTTCTTCAGAGGACCTGGGTTCAAGTCCCAACACCCACATGGCAGCTCACAACTGTCTGTACCTCCAGGATCCAGCACCCCCACACAGACATACATACAGGCAAAACATTAATAAAAAACATTAAAAATAAATTTAAAAAGTGAACGGTTAATATGAGAGAGATTATATATAGATTGAGTGATTGGTTGATTTCCAATCACTCAATCTATATATAGGGAGAAGGTTCAGAGGATGTGGTAGTTTAAATGAGAACTGACCCATAAACTCATGCATTTGAATGCTTAGTCACCAATGCTTAGTTCCACAGACTGGAACTGTTTGAAAAGGATTAGGAGGTATAGCCTTGTTGGTAAAAGTGTGTCTTTAAGGATGGTCTTTGAGGTTTTAAAAGCCCATTTCAGGCCAGGCCAAGCCAAGTATCTCTCTGCCTCTTGTTTCTCTCTCCCTCTCCGCCACGCCCCCCAGTCAGATGTGAAGCTCTCACCTACTGCTCCAGCACCAGGCCTGTCTGCTTCCCACCATGATGAGCACGGACTAACCCTCTAAAACTCTAGGCAAGACCCCCAGTTAAATGTTTCCTTTTTGTAAGAGTTTTCTTGGTCATGATGTCTCTTTACAGCAATAGAAGAGTACTAAGGTAGAAAGTGAAGATACTGCCCACCAAGCCATACAATCTGAGTTCCATCCCTGGAACCCACATGGTAGGAGGAGAGAACCAATTGTTCTTTAAGTTGTCAATGACCTCAAAGTGCTAAGCTTGTCATTTCCTCTTAAAACATCATGAGGTTTTTTTTTTTTCCTTCTAATATCAGATAAAATTCTGTTTGTACAACTGAAAAATACAAGTTAAGTGAAAATTGCAAATTACTCAAATTTTATATTGGCAAGCACTTTGTTTCACAAAATTTGTTTACATAAATTTCTGAGAACTAGAATTGCTTTTTTACATCAAATTCTAGCATCATGATGAAAACAAGACCAATAGCAAATTTCACACAAGGAAGCAGCATTTCAAATTAAACCAAGGAGACAAGTGCTTCCTCAGAGTGCATGGAATGGACACCACAGTCGCCTGGAGGACACAGTCACTTACAGAGACATTCTGACCAGGGACTGGTATCCAAAACAACCAATTAAAAGCTAACTGCATACAACTTGAACAGCAATCTATGTAAAACTCTTAGCTAAATATGGGACAAGGTCAGAAAGACAGCTTCAGATGGTACCACAAATGATAAATTACTCCAAACCCTGATTCCAACACTGGGCTTTTCAATGGAACTGGTTAGTAGGCAGGCTCTCCATCTAACCTGTCTGGAGCTACCACAGACATCATCAATACATAGCACACACATACTCACTTTCTTTTTCTTTCTTTCATTCTTTCTTTCTTTTTTTTTTTTGGGGGGGGGACTTTTCTAGACAAGGTTTCTCTGTGGCTTTGGAGGCTATCCTGGAACTAGCTCTTATAGACCAGGCTGGTCTCGAACTCACAGAGGTCCACCTGCCTCTGCCTCCTGTATGCTGAGATTAAAGGCATGCACCACCAACGCCCTGCTCACTTTCTTTTTTCCATCCAAATGACATTAGCATTTCATTGCCTGGACTAATTTTCCCATGGTTCTTAAAAAGAACAAATATTCAGGGCTTTAATAAAGAATTCAAAGAAAGAAAATGCATATATTAAAGCAAATACACTGTTTTCTTCTAGTTACAGATAAATGACAAGAAGCACATGAGTGTATACTTTGTTTCAGATCTAAATTTTTCATTTAAGAATAGGAAATATGTCGGCTCAGGAATATTCACAGCTCTTTAATAACCAAGCACCTCATTCTTGTTTCCTAGGATTTGACACATAAGATTCATAGATGTCACGTGCCTGTAAGATGTGCCCTCAACACAACCATGACAAAAATCAGAATTCATATTCTTTAAGATGAAAGAAATTCTGCTGATAGTCTTGATTCAGCAATTTTATAGTTAAAATCAATTTTTCTCTAACACATCCATTGACCTTAAAGTTTTCATAAACATTTTCTACTGCAGAGACTGCAGTCAACATTTACCAATGCCCACACTGTATCTGGCTGGGCACGTTCAGTACCAGTAATCACTCAGTCAGCATGTGCTTCCCCTGCCAGAAAGAGGAACAGCTGCTACTCACTGGGAATCTCTGGGGTCCCACGGCAGGCCTCGGCTGGCTTGGAACTGGCAGCAAGGGCACTGTAAGAGAACAAGCTATATTCAGAGGAAAAAAAGGAGTATTCTCATCTCAAGATTATAGTGAAGGTGAAGAAAAGAATGGCACAAGGTTTCTCTGTGGCTTTGGAGGCTGTCCTGGAACTACCTCTTCTAGACCAGGCTGGTCTGGAACTCACAGAGATCTGCCTACCTCTGCCTCCCGAGTGCTGGGATTAAAGGCGTGTGCCACCAACGCCCGGCGAACATAATCTTTTTATTGTGTGTGTGTTTGTCTAGAGACAAGGTCTTACCTGAAATTATACAGACCAGGCTGACTTCAAAGCTACCTGACTTTGCCTCCCAAGCACTGGGATTAAAGGTGTACATTTTAAAAAGACTTTTAAGTGTATTCAGCTGTTAAGACTCTGAGAAGTGCTAGTTTAATCTGTACTTTGCATATATAGGACACATCGTAGCACTTAGCCTCTCCCAAGAATTAGGGCTTCAATTTAATTTTATTTACAAAGTACTAAGTGATCAAATACTGCTAGGATCTCATATGTGCCAGCAAGAATAAGGTTTTCTTCACTCGAACATTAGGTACATGAGAGACAAGAAGTGAGCAGCAACAAAGCTCCTGGGTTCATAGTGACCTTAAGGAGCTTCAAGGGGACTCAACATTTACTGAGTCACTCAAGCTCCTGGATGCAGGATCTGCACTTAGTACGGGTGGAGTCAGGAGAACATGGCAGATGACACAAAACTTCATAGATTAATTTATTCAACGTTGGAACCACTGATTGTATGGTACAAAATCATTATAGTAAAGAACTGGCTCTTTCCCACTGGACAGTGAAGCTGTAGGCACCGCAGTTTTAATGCATTGCATCATTTGCTGGCACGTGTCTCAGGTAAAACAGCTTCACTGAGGCTCAGAAGCTATAATGGAACAGACGGCCACAGACAGAGCAAACATGATTATATCCTTTTCTGAGGAGTGCTCCACTGTACCTTCCTGGTACAACCACTGAGCTGGTCTTCATGAGCTATCACATACTACACATCTTTCAACATATCATAATCTAATCAAGAAATAGTTTGTTGTTACTGAACAGCACTGAGACAAAATGATGCTTATTTGGTTATCAGTCCGCTCATGAGGCACCCACCTATCAAGCCTTTTCACCTTTCCAATTTGCCTCAAATGCTAACGGACTGTGAGCAGCAGTCACAATGAGCTCTAAGAGCATCTTCTTCAACCACTGCTCTGTCATCCCTGTAAATTCTCATGTTTGATGCCTCTGTTCTTTCTTCATCTACCACTACCATTGTGAAGTCACTAGTGGCTTCCGGGCCAAATGTGTTGTTAATGTTTCCAATTGTCTCCACAGTGGTTTTGATCTAGTATCATTTTCATAGTATAAGGATCAAAAAGTAGTAAGAAGTCACTACCAAAAAACACAGAGAAAAAAAAAAAAGAAAAAAGAAAAAAAAAGAAAAATGTGCATTAAAATGATGCATAAACAGAAGCACATGAAAATGCATTCTACTATCCAATGGCCAGTTTCAGCTATGTGGCAACCACAGTTGCTGTTTGCTCCATCTTAATACACTATAACCCAGGCACTCTTCCCTACAGTGGCCTAGACAAGCAGGACCTGCATCACTTTCCTCCTTTTGTCACTCCACAAAGTGCTGGCCATCTCTCCTTGGGCTCACTATCAACAGCCCCTCCTAGTTATGTATCTCTCCAAGACTTATGACCATCTTCCCTGATAAGCCACCTTTAAAAACTAACCTGCTCAATGAACCCCCAGATAACTGTATCACTCCCTCCCTGAACTCTGCTCTATTCTTCCTCTGTACCTGCACCTAGCACACCACACAAACCCCACTACCAGCCCTGGATGCTGGCGCACTGCCTCTGCACATGAAGGAGCACGAGCATAAAGACAACTCTCGTCTGCTCTGCTCTCCAACAAAGTCAAGGTGCCTGGAGCAGTGTCTAACTGCTACTATGGTGGCTTTGTGAATCTGCCAGCAGAGCACTTCAGCACACACCAGAAAGAACACGCACCTTGAACAGGGGTCACCACCGTCCCCTTAAAGTGTGGATTGATGTGTATGTTCTTGGGCTGCTGAGGAGTCACTGGGGGAGGGGTCAGCATCATCCTGGGAGACTCCATCTGGGGAGGCATGTGCACTCCCTGAGGTGGGGACGGGTGATGGGGGTGCTGCAGGGGGAGGAGCGGCTGTAGCTGTTGTTGTTGGAAAAGACTTCTGATTGGCTGCTGCTGAGGTGGTGGCGGTGGTGGAGGAGGCTGTGGCTGTGGAGGAGGGATTAATCTTGGAGAGTGAGCCTGAAAATCACCAAAAGAGAAAAATTAACAAATCAGCACTTTGAAAAAACTAAAGCAATGTTGCTGTGGTACCAAGCTTCTACCAATTGACTTCTCAGAAATAAACTTACAAAAGGATAAATAAGCTGACCACAGACTCACAAGACAGCACACAGCCCAACCAGTCCACGGCAAGGAGAAAAGACATGATAGCCCAAAGCACACAGCATGGACTCTGAAAAATAAACTTCAGTCCAGGAAACAAAACTTTCCATAACAAGCAAAGCCCATAGCTTCTAAACACAGCCTCTCCTCGAGGAGACAGACAGGAGAGCACTAGAAGCCTGCCACTGAGAAAGGATCAAGGCTACAGGGAGCTGTTCCAAGAAGCTGCTTTGAGAAAGTGATATCTGGGCCAAGCCTGCACTGCAGGGAAGGGATGCATTCTCGCTCAGAGAGAATTAACAGAGCACGAATGGAGAAAACCAGGAGAAAGGACTTTCTGTATGGTCAAGAAGAGAGGGGTACAGCATATAAAGAGAAATAAGAGGATAGGGACCAAAAATAAGCAAACAAATAAAAGCACAACCCAAATTGGGCCTGCAACTACTGCAGTCCCTTATCTCAAGTTGCCATTGAAAGGTTGTACAGGAAGCAGCAAGCCTATTCCTGACAATGCCAGAAAGTGAGTTGGATTCAGGCAATCTGATTCCATGAATTTTGCTTTTACCCACAAATCAAATCAGCTATAGTGTCAATTAGTAGTCAAAACACTTATAATTCAGCTGTCTAATTAGTTGTTTTCTCTGGGATGATGGCCAATTATAGTCTCTGCATTCCAAGTAAAAACACAGCACGCATGGCGAGGAACTCCCAATGACGCCCACTCTAGGAAAGTGAGTACCTGCTCATCATGTGAGATGGAGAAGATGAACACGGGCCTGTCAAACAGGTTATGTATGGCCAATAGCAGGTAGAAGAGCCACAGTCCCATGAAGGACAAGGAGGGACATCAGAGAACAAGAAGATTAAAAAGTTAAATTGTATATGACATTGGCTGACTGTCTTTCCTCAGAAAGGATGTCCCAAGGATTCGGGAAACAATAAACCTGAACTCCCCTCTTTCAAGATTCCAGGGCACACCCTTCTGGTTATTGCCTTGATGCACCCAAGTGTGTAATTTATAAAACTGGGAAAATGCCATGTGTTGTCTGAGCTCACTGAAAGAGGCAGGCACTGAAACTGAGGGTTGCCCCCCTCCCCACTTCAAACCTTAGCACATTTATCTGGTGATGGAGTGCCCCCTAACTTTCTGACAAGGAGGGAAGAGAAGAGCAACTGCTTAAAAAGTAAAAATACCATAGCACTGAGAATGGCTAACAGGCAAACTGTTTCTAACAGATCTTACTATTGCTATCCCATGATATAAAAATATGTGAAACAGAAACAATGAAGAAAAAGCTAAATTGGAAATACCAGGTAACTACCTCAAATTCCTTGGTTGGTTTCTGCTGGAGGCTGTTAAGCCTGATTTAAATGAATGGCTGCTGGTTAGACTCAGTCTACCAGCTGTTTGGTGGCAATGCAACCTACCAGGTAGTCACCAGGAGCCAAAGGTACATCTACTCTGTCAGGATGCCAGTTACCTTTGGTTTTTAACTGGGTGTTAATGGTATGCCCAACCCTCTCTCCATTAACCTCCCTCACCTGTAAATAAAAAAAGGAATTCTGTGGCACTCGTGATGATGCAAAACCAAGCTTGGGCATAACTTGTTTACGCTGATGGAGAACCAACCAATTGTGTGCAACAGAACTATGTATTGATGTCACCAAACTTTCAAATGCTATCATTTGAATCACCCTTTCCACATCATCATCTCAACAAGGGACAATACCTGAAACATTGTTATCAAAGGCCGAGTGCAGGCTGCAAGTCTTGGAGGACTATGTGGTGCACACTAGGGATGCATCTTACATTATGTCTCTCCTAATACTGACTTCCAAAGGAGAAAGCCATCAAGTTTACTTCTAGCTGAACAAAAGGACAATAAAAAGCAACACCATGACTCCTGTCTTTGTTCCGAGATACTCAGAAGAAATTTACTCAAGTTTAACTACATAATTCAGTCTCAATTCATGAACAGTTTCCTAAGATACAATTAAGAAAAACTGATAGTTAAGGGAAAACCTATAGAAAAACAATCTATCCAGGTGGTGGTGGTGCTCGCCTTTAATTCTAGCACTCAGGAGGCTGAGGCAGGAGGGATCTCTCTGAATTGGAGGCTAGCCTGGTCTACAAAGTGAGTTCCAGGACAGCCAGGGCTGATACACAGAAAAACGATCTCAGGACACCCACACCCACCAAAAACAAAAAACAAACAAACAAAAAAACAGAAAGAGAGAGAGAGAGGGAGGGAGGGAGGAAGGAAGGAAGGAAGGAAGGAAGGAAGGAAGGAAGGAAGGAAGGAAGGAAGGAAGAAAACGGAAGGGAGGGAGGGTAATTTTTTAACTACCCAATAATGGAAGGACCCAATCCTCAGACTACAAATGAAATCGTACCAAAGACCAAAACCCAGAAACTTCAACCATTGCTTCTACTGCTTCGGTGTCATTTCAGAAAAGGCGAGTGTGAATTTTCGGTCACAGGAACATACTTTCATTGCCCCAGAACTGGTAGACACAGCAATGAAACACCATACTTACCACGACAGGAGGCTGTGTAGGAAGCAGGGCGGGCCTGTGCTCTTTCATCCGTCCCCTCTCAGTGCTCTCTCTCCTCTGGTCTCCCATCCCACGGCACATCAGAGAGCCTCCTCGCCTTCCTCCCCGCCGGGAACCATAGCGCCCCTGCTTATGCTGTCGCTCTCTTTCTTCAAATTCAAGCAATGCAGCTTTGGCTTCTGCTGAAAGCTCTATGTAAAAAGATGTACAAGTGTTAAAATACAGCCCACACTACATACATCTGTGGGGAGAGAACAGTAAGACCAAGTAGCAAACTCTTGATACAAGTGTCAATCTATCAATCTTAAAATGTTTTCACTTTCACATAATGTGCCAAGTGAATCTTAAAAAGCAGTCATTCACAGACCATCACAGTTGGAAACTCTCCTCCTCTACCACTGGGATCCAATTAGGCCAGTAAGAAAATGCCACTACCTGGGCGTGGTAGATTTCTTTAGTTCCAACATTTGGAAGGCAAAGACAGGAAGATACACATGAGTTCGAGGCCAGCCTGGTCTTCAGAGCGAGTTCCAAGACAGCCAGGACTACACAGAGAAACCCTGTCTCTAAAAACAACAAGGAAGGAAGGAAGGAAGGAAGGAAGGAAGGAAGGAAGGAAGGAAGGAAGGAAGGAAGGAAGGACGGATGAAAGAGCAATGGCACAGAATCAGGAAAAAAATACCCTGAGCGTTCTGATGTAAATCAAAGCCACTACTGACCTCCTCCTTCTCAAATAAAATTATTAAGGATAACTCCTAAAGAATGGAACATTCATTAATTGTATTTCACTTTAAACTTTTACATTCATTAGTACATATGTCATGATATAAAAAGACATTGTGTGTACACACAGACAGATACGGACACCTTATCAAAAGAGAGGAAAGCCACCCAAAGAAAAGCTGGCTATTTTAAACACTGCAGTTACCTTACATAGCTAATTGTGTCTCTCCCATGCTTTGGGGGTACAATGAACATGGGCATAGACCCTAAGAATCTTCCAATACCACATTATTCTAAGCCACTAAGGGGAAAAAGCCCTTTCATCCAAATATGGTCCCTTTATTTTACAGTAATGTCTAAATGTGGTAATATATCTATTAATATATTAGTAAATGTGTATTTTGTCAAAACATCAAATAAACACTACTGGAAGCCTTTCTTCTCCACTGGGGGTAGACTTTAAATATCTACTTTGCAACCTCAGACTAATAATCTGTAAGCTATGATTCATTTTCTTAAAAATGTTGACATGGTATTCCCTCTCCTTCAAATGAATATGGACCCATCGGAAAGAAAACATAATAATTTCTTTTTAACCAGTACAGATTTTTATTTTAATCTTGACTACATGATTGCTTCACACACACATTTTATGCAGTGAATCAGCAATTATTTTTCTAGTGGTTCTGAATGTCAAGATTAATTTTACTATCCTCAGTAATAAAATGGTTTCAAATGACATCTTTAATCAGCAAGAAAAAATGCTCTCCTCCAATTGAGACAAGCTGTCACAAAGGTCACCAAAATATGACAGGATAGAAATTACATTTGTAACTTCAACTGAAATGTTAATTTCCCCATAAGTGTTTTCTGAACTATGTCCAGATCCTAAAGTAAAGAGATATATCATAAAGCAACTACAATTATATTACCCATTCCTTTCTAAACTAGTAACAATATATTTGATTCTAAATAATTATAGAATAGTTAAAATGAATACAGGCTTATGGAATACAGTTTGGCAAGATAAAAATGACAAATCTCAAATGATAACTGAACCCAAAACAATTTTAAAACAAAAACAAGGATCATAGTATAAAAAAGGTGAGTATGTGGCACTGTCACTAGGTGAAAAGTTTCTTTCTTCCCACAGGTCTTTGGTCTTCAATGAAAGTAGCTAGGATGTTAGTTCAACAGAATAAGATGTAAAGATTGCCACTCCTAATTCCAGTTCCAAGAGATCCAGGCCCCTTTTCTAAGCTCCACAGGCACCAACACATACATGTGATACACATACATACATTCAGGCAAACACTCAAAATAAATAAATCTAATTTTTAAAAGCTTTTTATTTGTAAACAAAATGACAAAACAAAAAAAAAAAAATAGAATCAACTGTCCAAAAACAACACACCACTAGAGAACAAAGGGACTCTAGTAGCAACACACTTTTATCTCAGTATAAAAGCAGGCAAACTGCTTTATAATTCAATAAACACCATCTTGGGATTGGGGACACAAACTAACAGGTAACACTCATGTAAACTTGCAGCTCTCAGAGTCTGTGAAACCCTTCCCTCTTTCACATCAAGCCTTGCATACACCCACTGTGTGGGAAGGTGTGAGCCCTAGCAGGAAGCTCCTTCTCTCAGGAAACCATTTCATCTGATGGGTGGTGACATTCTTTGCATATTGAAAATGACCCCAACTCTGAAGTTACTGGTAAACTTTGCAAACATTAAACTTCCTTAAATTACAACTCACTGACAGAAGATTTTTTTTTTTTTGGGGGGGGGACGTGCGTTGAGACAGGGTTTCATTGTGTTATTCCTGACTGTCCTGGAACTTATTCTGAAGACCAGGCTGGCCTTGAACTCAGAGATCCACCTGCCTCTGCCTCTGAAGCGCTGGGATTAAAGGCATGAGCCACCACTGCCCAGTGAGACAAAAGAACTTTTAACATTTTCCTTTGTCCAATTATCTAGCCAAATTACCACATTCTACAAAAATACTTAGTATTTTTAGAAGAACAGTAAATAATCAAATTGTTTACCCTTACAGCACCACTTCTAAGGGTTCCTAGCTCTCTCCTCCTCACAGTTCCAGGGGTGCAACTTGTCTACAACAAAATACCCCTAGCCTCTTGTCTCTGAAGACCACTAGTTAGAGCTGCCAGGTACCTTGGAAAAGAAAGCAGACTTGACAGCTTTTTGAATAAAGGAAAGTATAAATGATTCGGGAAAGAAGGGAAGGCAAAGACCCTGAAAAAGGGATGTACCAAACAAAAAGTATTAAGACAGACAAGTGGAACATTTCAGAACAACCATGTTCACAACCTGGGAGGGAGATAAAATGAATATTAACAACTATGATAATGAGTTGAATTTTTGGTGATGGCAGCTTAGTATTCACTGGGAGAATTTGTATGTGTCCCTGAAAGACTCATGCTGCTTTCGCCTGTTTAGTAGTAAAAACAACCATATTGTGGTTTGAATGAAAATGGCCTCTTATAGGTTAGGGAACAGGAGAAGCCCCAAGTGGGTGAAATCCTGAAAGAATATGTTTTTGAGATGTATACAATTATTTTGAGGACTCCAAGGCTAACTGACCCATGGGAAATTGGCAAAAGTCATTACAGCCATGTGGGCTAGGCTCAAGAAGAATTGGCAAAGCTTTCCTTGGAGTCAGAGTCCAAATATGAACAACTGATCTGTGTGGGGGGACTATCAGCTTCCTCCTCCCACATGGTTATAGCCTGAGACTGCCACCCTATACAGACTTTCTACCAAGACTAGCTAGCCCTTTCCCCTGTGCTATACATAATGAAAAAGCTGAGGTTCCACCAAGTCACTGGAGGTAGCTCAAGGCAATGTTAAAGAAATTCACCTGATCCCAGCTTTACTGTATGTGTGTCTTTCTTTTCGTCATTTCCTCACTGTTCCTAACCAGGGTTCCAGGACCCAAGCTTTGAATGACAAGGTACATAGGCTCATACATTTGAATGCTTGGTCCTAGTTGTTGGAACTGTTTGGGAAGAATTAAGAAATCTGGATGGCCTTGTTGGAAAGGTATGTCACTGGGGGCAGGATTTGTGACTCACACCATTCCCAGTGACTGTGGTGTTCTCTCTGCCTCCTATCTGTGGATCAAGACTTGAGCTCTCAGCTGTTCCTGCCACCATACCTTTGCTTTGTCATCATGGACTCAAACCATTTGGAACTATGAACCCAACAACACTTTTCTATAAGTCCACAAACAATGGTGTTTAAAAATAAAGATAAGGACTATGATGTAGCTGCTAACTTCAGTACACACACACACACACACACACACACACACACACACGAGAGAGAGAGAGAGAGAGAGAGAGAGAGAGAGAGAGAGAGAGAGAGACCATCAAGGTGACGAGACCTTGATCTTGATTTTATCTAGACCCAAATAAAAAGGTATATAGACTCTGATGTCCTATGAGCCTTGCCTTCCCCTTAGAAGGCCCCTGGTGGGCCTGTTCTCCTAAAGCCCAAGGAGCACACTGAAAATACAATCTTCCTGGGCACTGCCTGGGTCTGAAGACTCAAGATGGCTGGGAGTGGCCCCAACACTACTTTGAAAAGTTCCACTGTTTTAGAGAAATGCTTCAACTGCTAAGCAATATTCCGAGCCCTGAGGTGATTGTGACACTCCAATTAAACCCAATGATCAGTGGAAAAGGACACAGACTATAGATAGGGATAGGGTCACTGCTGTCACCCAGCAACAGTGTGAGGAAGGTCTTTAACAGCAGATTCTTGACATCTAGTTAATGATCTCTATAAGCTAATCACTGAACACTCAGGAACAGAGAGAACCCAAAAGGATGACTACAAGGATGTTACAAGTGCAAAATAAAACCAATTTGGCCTAGATTTAGTGCTGGCTACCTGAGAGGCAGTCTAGTAGAGAAGAGCCAGTACCCTGCCAAGCATCCCACCTCAGCACAGTAAGGAACACAGGGCATGAAGGAGAGCAGCTTTGGACCATATACTCCCAAAGAAAACCAAAAAAAAAAAAAAAAAAAAAACTTGTAAATATTTCACTCAAACACTTATAACCCAGAAGTGGTTGTGTGGCAGAATGATTAGCACAGCCCAGCTGAACACCAGCCTTCCATATACCATACACCCTCACCAACAATCAATCATAAGATATGGAGACATCTGAAGTAGAAATGAAGATTGGGGAAACATGCCAAAAAAAAAAAAAAGAAAAAAAATTACCCACAGGCCAAAAACAAAAATTACCCAAAGTTTCTGGAATGTTCCTTCTCTCTCTAGTTACATCTGAGAGCCTAATAATTGTTCCTTCTTTCCTTTCAGTTTTGAAACGCAATCTTCCAGATTCTTCATCATCATCATCTTCTTCATCTGATTCTTCTTTTATGTCTTTCTGGAGTTCCAGAGTTTCCATTCCTCCCTACAAGCAGACAGATAAACAGGGAGAGGTGAGTCCATAGTCACTTAAAATGTAAGGATACTTCTAAGATCCTAGTAAAAGGCTATGTGAAACATGAAGACAACTCCAGTAGAAAGAAAACATCATGTATTAAAAAGAAACTTACTTCTCGAAAACCCTCAAATTCCTGCCTGTAGTGAGGACTCCACACTGCTGCTACCCACACTTGCTAGAATACAGACATCATTTGAACTTCCCTGCTGTCTTACATCTAATTCCAGACCACAGCAAAGTTCCCACACAACTTAATTTGTATATGACAACAAAGTAAGCTAACATCTTGTAAATCCACACCATCAAGGCAACACTAGAGTTAACAGTACAGAATCCATCTGGTAGCTACAATGCCTACTTCAGCCACATACGCTGAACAGCTCATAGTTCCGAATCACATTCTTTGACCTTCTGTAAGCTGTTCCTGTCAGTTTTGGGGTTCGTGGCTGCTTGCTACTGTTCTAGTCTTCAGAACATGTCATCACTATGCCTTCACTTGCAATTTACTTCACTCTTGTTGTTTAGTGTTAACTTATCACACACTTAGTGTGGAGACCAGCAAAAGACAAAACCATTCCTTTGCCACTTTTTCATAGTAAAACCAAACCTTATTTTGGCAGAGTCCCTTACAAAACCTCCCACTAGTGCCAACCCAAACTAAAGCGTATTTTTTCATACAATTCTTCCTTCTGAGCTCCTAAGACCCTATTAGCTCCCTCTCAGGTCACTCTCAGTAGCACACTGGCAGCTGAAAACAGGCATGCAATGAGTCTAGGGATCATTTAAACACTTTCTAACAATGTAAAATAAAAATGCAGCTTGACTCTTCATTATCAAGAAAGATTCTTTACTCTTAAAAGAAACAAAGACACGCTGTTAGAAAATACAAAAGAAGCTAAAACCAAAGAATCATTGTGAATTGCCTTTCTTAAACATTCTCAGTGTGAAAAGCTAACTGTAAGACAGAATCTTTAACAAGCAGCACAAACAGAACACAGCTCCAGGAACCACAATGCTGAACAATACAGACTGACGACAGTTCACTTTTAGTCTAATAAAACTACGGCGACTCAGTTCTGGGAGGCTCAGCATGGTGCAGAAGCTAATGCAACACTGCCTTTTCTATATCACTGTATGCAACCCTGAAAATAGAGTGAGTGGCATGTATGATGAGTCCTCAAGGCACCGATGCCACATGCCCTTCCTCCACGTGCTCAGGCAGGACTGCTGTGTTAACATGTACACCAGTGACTGGAAATGCTCATCAGAAGCAGATTCTGACCTTGGAAGGCCAGAGTGGGACCTGAGAGTCCACATTCCTCACAAGGTCCCATTAAGGCCAACACCTGGATCCACAGACCACATTCAGTAATATGGCCACAGAGAGGAAATCATGTCCACCAAAGCAAAAACCTTATTGTAGCAGTTATATGATTACAATAGATAGAGACTACTAAAATAGATAGAGACTACTACAAAAGAAGAGACTACTAAAATTTGTATTCATTAGAAAATCACCACCAGCAAACTAGAATCAAAAAGAACATCTTCAATCTGAGAGCAAAACTCAAGCTAGCACTTAGTGCCTTGCTCCTAGCACTAAAAATAAGGCAAGAAGTCTGCTTTGAAGCCACTCTTTTGGTTGGTATACATAGCACTTCCACTGGAAGTCAGTAAGGCAAAAGAAATAAAAGGATTCTGATTACAGAGAAAGAAGAAAAATGCTTTCATTAACAGATAATTTATTAAAATATTAACCTGAGGGCTGGAGAGATGATTCTGTGGTTAGAGAGTACATACTGCTCTATCAAAGTATCTAAACTGAGTTTTCAGCACCCACATCAGGTGATTTACAACCACCAGTAACTCCAGCACTGGCAGGTCATACACATTCTTCTGATATTCATGAGCACCCGCACTCATGTACATAACCACACACACACACACACACACACACACACACACACACACACATATAAAAATAAAAAACAAAACCTTTTAATATTAAAATAAACTTAAATAATGAAGTTGTCCATTTTAATCTAGAGATACATGGCCATCTCTATCAAAACTGTAGCCAGACTTCTAGTAGATATTGATAATTCCATTATACAAAAGAACCTTAGAAAGAATAAAGTTGGTTAGTGGGTTTACAGTACCTGGTTTCATGTTCCATTATTCCAACTGCTATAGTGCTAACATACTGACTTTATAAAAAACAGATTAATGGAGCAGAAAAACCTGAGGGTTAAAAAAAGGTAGGCTGACAACACAAAAAACACACTGATTTGACGGGAAGGTAAGCCTGCATAGCAAACCAGTGCAACAGCTGGAGAAACATTTTTCTTTAAAAACAATGCTCTCATACCTCAGATGCTATTAGACAAAGCAGCCACTAACTCTAAACTAACACTAGCTAATAACACAGACCTTCCACAAGAGGAAGCTAATTTTACAATCTTGGGGTAGTCAAAATTTTCTTAGCTCACAAAACTACTTGGTCTTCATCCAAATAATTTTCTACTTAAAAAAAATTAAATCTGGAGGAGTATAGCTCAGGGGGAGAGCATTTGCCTGCAGATCAAGAGGTCCCTGGTTCAGATCCAGGGACTATAAGTTTAGGAAGGAGGCAAAGGGTGATGGGGGAAGGGTGGGAAGGAGAACTGTGGTTGGAATGTAAAATGAAATCAAAACATAAAAAATGGAAAAAACTTAAATTTGGAGGTTAGGGAGATGGCTCAACAAAAGACCCAGGAGGTCTGACAACATCTCTAACCTTCAAAGGTGCTGCACCACACAGGGCATACTAGCATGTATATAGGCAAAACTCCCATATAATTAAAGACATTTATTTGTTTACAGCCATACCACCCTAAACACATCTGTTCTCATTTAAAACACTTAAATTTAAGAAAATGAAGACATAATTCAGGGGTTCAGAAAAAAAATTCACAAACCAACAGACTTGATATCTAAAATATTTAAGAACTTAACTAGCAACCACTTTCGAGATTACAGACACTAAGAACATACAAATAAACTATACTGTCATATTAGACATAGAGCAAAGGGTTACCAGCCTATAATTCAAACCTCCAGAGAAGCTAGGAAGTAAGGAGGACCCTTAGAGAGACATGCATGGTCTCCTGGAAAAGAGGAAAGGCACAAGATCTCCTGAGCAAATTGGGAGCATCGGGGGAGGAGGAGGGAGGAAGGAGAAAGAGGCAGGGAGAAGAGGAGGGGGTAGTAGAATATGAGGGATCAGGAAGATTGAGTCGGGGGAAGAATAGAGGAGAGCAAGAAAAGAGTTATCTTAATAGAGGGAGCCATTATAGGTTTAAAGAGAAATCTGGCACCAGGAAAATTCCCAGGGATCCACAGGGATGACCCCAACTAAGAATCTAAGCAATAGTTGAGAGGCTACCTTAAATGCTCTTCCCCTATAATGAGATTGATGACTACCTTAATTGCCATCCTAGAGCCTTCATCCAGTAGCTGATGGAAGCAGAAGCAGAGACCAACAGCTAAACGCTGAGCCAAACTCCTGGAATCCAGTTGTAGAGAGGGAGGAGTGATGAGCAAATGGGTCAAGACCATGCTGGGGAAACCCACAGAAACAGTTGACCTGACCAAGTGGGAACTCATAGACCCCAGTGTGACAGCTGGGGAACCAGCATAGGACCGAACCAAGCCCCCTAAATGTGAGTGTCAGTTAGGAGACTTGGGCAATCAATGGGGCCTCTAGCAGTGGATCAGTATTTATCCCTAGTGCACAAATGGACTTTGGGAGCCCATTCCCCATGGAGGGATACTCTCTCAGCCTAGATACATGGGAGAGGGCCTAGCCCCTGCCAAAAATGAAATGACAGACTTTTAATGATCCCTATGGAAGGCCTCATCCTCCATGGGGAGTGGACAGGGGCATCGGTGGGGGACATGAAAGGATGGGAGGGAACTGGGATTGATATGTAAAATAAGATTGCTTCTAATTTAAATAAAAATGTATTAAGAAAAAGAAAAAACTATACTGTCTGTGTAGAGTACAAATACATAAACAATAATCTCAACAAAGACCTTATATATTTTGTAACTTATATAAAAAGACAACTTGTGGTCAGGCAGTGGCACAAGCCTTTAATCCCAGCACTCGGGAGACAGAGGCAGGAGGATCTCTTTGAGTTCAAGGCCAGCCTGGTCTACAGAGTGAGCTCCAGGACAGCCAGGACTACACAGAGAAACCTGTCTCAAAAACAAAAACATAAAAAGACAGCTTTAAAGACAACACAGCTAAAACCCAAGGACTATATTAAGTCCAAAAGAATATCTGAACAGTACTCAGTATCATTAGGCATCAAAGAAATTAGGCACCCAAAACAATGCAGCCATTGAAGGGCTGAAGAAAAACACTGGTACCAAATGCGGAACAAGGAGGACTCTCAACCAGATGAAGGGTTTAAAATGGCACAATCACTTTTAGAAAACCATTTGGTAATTACCTTAAAATAAACAAACAAACGCCATGCTAGTCTAGCTTAGTAATTCTACCAATACCTAACCAGCAAATCAAAAACTGTATATCCACAAAATGGTGAACATTCATCCATAACACAACAACAAAAAACCACTAGAAACAACCCAATTATCTAATAAGAGGAAAAGAAACAATAAGGTATATCAATAAACAGAATAACTATTGCTACAAGTATGCATTTCAATTAATTCAAAACTATGCTAAGCAAAAACAGCTAAACATGATGTTATGGGTGTAGGTCAGTGACACATCCCTTGTTTTTAACATGCTTGAGATTCTAGGATCAAATCCCAACACCACAGAAACAAAGTAAACACTAAGATGAACTTCTAATATAATTACATCAAGTAAGGTGGGAGAAACAACAGTGTTAGCCTCTGGAAAGCCAGGACTTTAAAAAACAGTTTTATTTGCATTTGGGTATTAATATCAGGGCTTTATACTATTCCACTCTTCTCTGAGTGCTGGATATAAAGCAACCCTTTTCTCTAAGTTGAATTTGACTTTTTGTACTTTGTGTCTCACTCTTTTAAATAAATTAAAACTTAGAAAAAAAAGTAAGATTAGTTTAAGAGACTCTTCACCCCAATTGTGTAGCTGTAGAAGAAGGTGTCTAATTGGGTGTTAATATCAGGGCTCTAAGACTACTTTGATCTTTTCTGTGTATGCTGGGTATAAAACAGGAAACTTTCCTTTAACCTGAATTTGACTTTTCTGGAGGGTAATGGGATTGTCCCTCATCAATTGTCCTACAGTAAGGTAAGATAGAGAGACGTGAAATTATGAAAACACTGAGACAGGAAAGAAGCCCCATTCTGGAGTTTGGGAGAAATCTCTCACCAGTGGCAAATCAAGGATTCTAGTATAATTACCGAGATATATCATGAGGCTGTCAACAGAATCACAATATTCCTTTTATATAGAGATATTTTCAAAAAAGAATGCTAAAATACAATGATTAATTCTGAAGGCCTTAAGTTTGTCCTTACTCCTTTCCCATATATTTTATGAGACTCTCATAAACACCACTATTAACTTCACACTGAAAACATTCAAACTCAATCCGCCATTCCTATGACCTCATCAGTTGAAATCCTATCAAAGCACTCCAGGAAGCACTCAGCATCTCCAAGAACCTGCAAGGGTAACGGTATGTGGTTCCTACCAAGACATACAATACAGTGTGACTAATGCATGGAGGGGGTCTTATCTTTTCCCTGGAGTCTTTCTTTTAACCCTGTGTAATGCTCACCCTCTTCTTATTCTCTCTCTCTCTCTCTCTCTCTCTCTCTCTCTCTCTCTCTCTCTCTCTCTTCTCCTTCCCTCCCTCCTTCCCTCCTCCCTCCTTGGCTTCATACTGGTTTATCCTGAAATGCTTCCTTGAGAAATCAGGCTGCTATAGGTGGCTGTGCCTCTGGCTTGCACCCTACACTTGCTGACAAAATGGTAAGTTGTGTATATATGCATGAATAAAAACTTAAATCATTTGATATTTAAAGTGACTGATTCACTGCATATAAATTCTCTCTCTCTCTCTCTCTCTCTCTCTCTCTCTCTCTCTCTCTCTCTCTCTCTCTGTGTGTGTGTGTGTGTGTGTGTGTGTGTGTTGCATGCACGCATGCCAGGAGGTCACTGGGTGTCTTCAATCAGTCTCTCCCTTAATCCCTCATACAGGGTCTTTCACTGAATCCAAAATCACTTTCTTGTCTGTAACACTCCAATACTGGGATTAACAGAAAACTCTGGTCATGACTAAATAACCCCACAGTCTAAAAGCAATCACTATGTCTACTTTATCTTCATTCAGACTTTTGACTGTTTTTAGATTTACAAACAATTTAGATACAGAGCATGATGGAGCTGAGAGCCCTTTTGACTTAATTAAACCTATCTTCCCATGGTGGACAGCAAAGGAAAGACATGGGTTCCTCTCCTATGGGGCTACTATCCTGACTTAATGGCATGTTTACACTGCCAACAGACACATGTACTAGGGCTTTACATGTACTAGGGCTTTGAATCCATCTTAGATTATCTCTTTGAATAAGTCAAATAATGAGTCAAAGGCAACATGCTTCAGGATTGTGGAGCATGTCAAGGACAGTGAGGGTGGCGAAAGCTAGCAAATCGGTCTGCGTATTTTGTGAGCACATAACCACCTATTCTTAGTTTAGAGTCTGTCTGCATGTGCTTGTGTGTCCAGTGGCCTCGAAAGAAAGGGTCTTCTTCCAGGGCAGGTCTGTTTAGGTCAGAACACAGTTCCCACATGTAAGGATCCATCTTAAGCACAGATCCCTCTGGTCATGATCACAGGGCCCTGGGTAAGCAGGGCCTCAAGGAAGTGCTGCTGCTGGGGAGGTGACTCAAGATTCAGCCCAGTTCTACCGAGTCTTGGTTTTCTCACATCTTCCATGACTATGTCAGACCACTTTGCTAGCTTTCAACTGTTTCTTCAACACCTAAGACAGAACTTAAAACAGAAAACCTTGCCGGGCGTTGGTGGCGCACGCCTTTAATCCCAGCACTCGGGAGGCAGAGGCAGGCGGATCACTGTGAGTTCGAAGCCAGCCTGATCTCCAGAGCAAGTGCCAGGATAGGCGCCAAAGCTACACAGAGAAACCCTGTCTCGGAAAGAAAAAAAAAAAAAAAAAAAAAAAAAAAAACAACAAAAAACCAGAAAACTTTGCAGTATTTCTTGAATAATGCCCAAATTAGCTAAGATTAACTAAATAAAATAATTGTAGCACTGATTTCAAGGCACTGATATCACACTTTTGAAAGTCAGCCCTAAAAAAACACTTTTAACACTACGACTTGGGCCAGCTACTATATTCAGCAGGTGAAGCATTTGTTGTACAAGCCTGATGAAGTGAGTCTGACCCCTCAGAACCCACTTAGAACCCACATAACAGTAGGAGAGAAGAGACTTGAGCTGCCTTCTGACTGACCATGTGTGTGCCATGCACAGATACATACACGCACACACGCACCCCATAAACATGCAGTAATAAAAAGAAACATTTAAAAAGACAAGCATCACTGATCCAGGGCACATACTTCTCACAGGCACCAGACATCACAACTCACTTCTCTAGGCAGGGGTTTGGGTTTCTACTACAACGCACAGTTTACAGACAAATCAACTTTCCACTAATACTCAAATGGGGGGGGGGGGGGGGCTCATTTTCAATCTGGAAAGAAAGAAACTCAGGAAACTGTAGAAGTTGAAGAAGTACCTCATGGGTCTCAGAAGCAACCTGGGAATCAGTAATCTCATCTAAGTCATCTTCAGCCTCACAGTCTTCCCGCACTTGCAGCCCTTGTTGCCCACCATAAGCCTGCAAGTATTCTTCATCCTAACGGCCATTAAAGAGAAGAAACATTTTTCTCACAAAGCTTTTGGGTGTTTTCAACCACTTTTCATGTATGATTCATGCAGACAGAGTTATTTTAACACATTCTATCGTGATGCCCTGACTGAGCACAGAGCATAGGAGCTTCTTCTGCACGGTCATGCAAACCAAGCGTCCATGCTGGTCTATCAATGAGGAGAGTGGCAACAGCTCAGTTTCAGGCCAAGCCCCTGGTGAGCAGCCTTCACATCTGTGACCAAAGGCTTGTGTGCTCACTGAGGAGCCCGGCAGCAGCAGAAGCCAATCACCCAAGCCCCTTGACAACCTAAGGCCAACAGAGACAACAGAATTGGGACAATTTGACACAGCAAAGTGCCTTTCAGACACCACACTACAGTGGATTCTTCATCAGGCATTTCTTTCCCTTGGGTGAAAAGATGATTCCAAGTTCTCCATGAAATGGAAAGGGCTTATCAGTAGGCATGCCTGTCCCCTCTGGGCTTAGGCAAGGTAGCAGGCAAGGGACCTGAACATCACCACTGGCAAAGAAAGCAGAGTGCTGCTGGCATTATCACCAATGAGGTAGGGAGAGTTGACCTGCCTGCTTCTCAAAATGATCCTAACACTGCATTCCACTTTGCACAAAACAGCATCCCATCAAAAAGGAAGTGGAGATGCTAACCAAATAACACCATGGAATCAATAGTCTGCTACTTTCTACACAAATGGTAAATTTGAACTCAATTTTAAAAAACAAAATCTCATTTGGTGCTAACTTCACAGTGAATATACTCTAATGTCACCAACAAATACTATTCTGTTGGCTACTGAGCAACAGTTCTTACTGCTACCAAAGTACAGACTGTAAAATGAAATCATGCTCATCAAAATGATGCTTGCAAAATTCACCTTATCCAATAAACAGACCTCCAGAGCTGTGCTGAAGTCTCCCAACACCCCTGAGATCTTCCCTTTCTTCATAGGTGACAGAATCCCTTCTAGTTACAAAATTTGTGGTCTTAAGGATTCTGTGGCCAGTTCTACACCAAATGCATGTTTTTATAGGTGGGCTCTCACAAGAAAGCCTGTGCTTGTGGGTCACGTTCAGAGTTAATTCTGCCTAGGACAAGGAACCAGTTTAAACCACTCAATAAACTAGGGTACATGGGGGCATATAATCTATTCACATGTTTACTGGTGCAGTGACAATATGCACATCTGGGACAAGGCCTGGCTGCTGGACAAGAGCACAGCACTCCACAGACTCATTCTGACCTCTTTCCCACTCGGGGCAGTCACTTCAGAAACTACCACTGTTATGTCCATGAAGAAAGAAGATGATAGCTGTGGCTCTAACATCAAACAGTAAGGAGGGCTGCCACTGCTTACAGAACAGGCAGCTGTGAAATACTAGCACACTGAGAATTTCTAAGGGAAATTTGAAGTTTCTGAAGCTTTTTATGAATTCTGAAAAAAAAATTTAAAGAGTTCTATAAATGTTTCAATTAAAATACTTTATTCTTTTAATTATCTGAATCTTGAACCACATGATGCTTAAGTGAATTTTGTATTATTCCTGGAACTTTATGTTTTCCTAAGTTATATAACAAAACATTTAAGAGGAAAATTAAGTTCTCTCTTCACAAATCTACAAGAACAATGTGGTTGAGCAAACTAACCCTAACACACACTTTCCATGCTTTTTATGGTTCAACAATATTTTGTATGTCTATCCATTAGTAAAGATGTGCTGACTATTTAAAGAGTAAAGGACCCAAGAAGAGAACAACTTATGTTACAAATGAACAGTAACAGTCAAATACTACAAGAAAACAAGACACATTTTCAAAACAACTTGGGTTAGTTCAACAAGCATTTTAAATTACAGTGTCCCATATAAGCAAGCACACCAGTATTAGAGGACACTGTCCATCTACTGAAGGGCTGATAATAAAATGCATCATTATAGGACCACAGACATCAGGCTCTGTGATGCTGTTTCATGACTCTACTGACCACAAGCTACACATACTTCCTGAGGAATAAGGCTCTACCCTCCTGAGACATCAAAGAACCGCCATGATTGAATTATTTTCATGCTCTTTATCACCACCTCCTTGTGAAGTAGGCTGCTACACACATAAATGACCAAGAATCATTAACTGCTGGCTGCTGTCCTCAAATGCAAGCACACACTAAACAATGACACCACAAGTAAGAGTTCTACAGCTCCTGATGCTACACATCCCCAGGCCATCTCAGCAGCACCACCACTGCCTTCATGGGATACCAATGAAATGAAAGCCTTAGGCGTTATACAATGCATCAGTAACATCTTTCCAGCATGAATGTCCTTAGGTGCTTTTTTTAAAAACACAAGCCTTTTCTGATAAAGTATTATGATAGATGACCAATCGTACACCAGTACCGCATTCTTTGCTGGTGTTTAATAAAAATAAACACTACCTACAAAAGCCATCTTTCTGAAATAAAAAACAGCACCATCTTAGCTTGCTGATTACAAATAACAAATTATGTGTGACATTTTCTAAACTAACCTCAATCTCTTTATTCAGGTTTAGACAGTTCTTAGTAAGAAAGGGATGAATGAAAACAGGACATCAATCACTGTGGAATATTAGCACCTTAAAGATGTCTTTAGCAGGTCAATAATCTTTTCACCTTAGAAGGACTTTATCAGATCTTGTCTAAAGCCTGGATAAAAGCTCTGCATTAAGCACTTCTAACATTGACAGTGTGCCTCTACCACACAAAGCTGCTTTCTTCCTTAGGGTGCAATCCTCAAGGTCACGATTCTTTGCAGCCTTCCAGAATGACAAAGGAGCATTAATGCAGGCCAAACAAGCTGTCAACACAAACTTTGTCATAGCTCTGATAAAGAAACTGGCAGACAGTGATAATAAGGTCTAATTTCTCTCCTTCCCATGGGAGGTAAACAGATCTCAAATCAGTCTAGAAACCTATGCGCAGGAAGCCATGCTATCTTTGGCCTTTCAAAAGAGAAAAGACTCACTGTAAACTCATCTAAAGGTTCATTGATTTCGATGTCCAGCACTTCATCATTGTACAGCTGCTCCTCCTCAGGCTCATCCCCATATTCTATCTGGTCTTCTGTCAGCTCTGCATCATGGCCTTCATACTGTCCTTCCTCTGGGTACTCCTGAGTATACAGTTCTTGTTCCTCGGGCTTGTGGTAGGCTAGCTCATCTTCTCCTTGCTCATACTCAGATTCCTGTTCTCCAGATTGGTCGTTGGTATTGTCAGACAGTTCAAATGATGTAACTATGCCAGAGGTGGTATTCAGACTGATGGTGACACCCTGAGAACTAGAAGAAAAAAGCACAATGAAAGACATACTGAGAGGATGCACAAAGCTGCATCACTAATAATTGAAGTGTGAGACTTAAACAAACACTACTTACAAGTCATCCCACTGATGAGTACATGCTTAACAATCTATGAAAATAGAACTGCACTAGATTCCAAATGGCCCAGGACCACACTGACCCACCATATAGACAGCATCTCCACTTGTCAGCTCTGTTATCTGACACAAAGAATGAAGTCAGCACAAAGCTGGTCTAGCTATCAAACATTTAAGACTTGCACCTAACACTTTGAATCTTAATCAACTTTTATTGGGGGTGGGGGAGGGGTGGAGATGGGACAGGGTTTTCCTATGTGGCCCTGGCTGTCCAGGAACTCACTCTGTAGACCAGGCTGGCCTCCAACTCAGAGCTCTGCCTGCCTCTGCCATTCGACTGCTAGTATTAAAGGCATGTGCAACCATGCCTAGCATCTACTTTTATAGAATGAAATGGATGGAATCTAGATGATATGACTGTTAACAGAAAACAAGAGTACTACTCAATAATCAGAAAATCACAGGATTGATTTTAAGACTTACTTAAGACTTATTTTATTGTGTGATTGCCTGACTGTAGTATGTGCCAGAAGAGAGCATATCATCCCCTGGAACTGGAATTACAGGTGATTGTGGGTAACCTGATATAGGTCCTCTGCAGGAGCAGTAAGTGCCCTTACTTAACTGCTGAGTCCCCACAATTAGAATGTTAAGAACAATTTGGAGTCTTCTAAAAAACATATTATGCAAATTGCTAAGCTTTTCATTCAGAAAATCAAAATATAAAAATCTGTGTCAAAGTACATCTCAATATTCAAATAAATGTACATTAATCACAAATATATTTAAAAAAAATAATTGATAACACCACCAGCTGTGTTGGCTCATGTCTATAATTCCAGCACTCAGGAGGCTGAGGAAGGAGGATTGGCATGAGTTACAGATAATATGGTCCTTGTCTCAAAAACTAAAGCAAACAAATTGGAAATTTCTTCATAAGAGAGCAAAAGGTCTTAAAACCACAAAACCCATATTATACCTACTGTATCACTAACTCCTAAAGGGCAAACATTTCAAGGTAAGAGTTCAGATATAGCTTAACACTGGCTTGTTCTTCCAGAGGACTCAGGTTCTATTCCCAGCACCCACATGGTGGATCACAACCATCTATATCTCCAGTTTCGGAGACTCTTATGCCCTCTTCTGACCTCAGAGGGCCCACAAGTGATACACAGACAGGGATTCAGGCAAAACAGTATATACAATTTTTTTAATTACATAAAAATATTTTTTTTAAAGTTCAAATGCGAGACCACAGAGTAAATCTGTGCTCACAGCAAGCAGCCTATACAGCAAAACTGAGCACACCATAGACTTTAAGCTTCTGGCCAAACTTGAAGATACACTTCAAGGCCAATTTCATTCAAAGGATCAAAATATAATTTGTGGTTAAAAAGAATTGGCAAATGAATCTAACTGATAAATCAATAATTTAAAGCTATTCTTTTAGCCACAAACTATGTGAGAAAACAAGCTTCAAATCTGTGGTCTTCAGATGATATATTTGCAATCATATTTATAACCCAAAAAGATGTATTTTTCCCATGGTTCTTCCTAAAACTTGAAATTTTTCTGAGTATTTCTAAGTATCTCTCCAGAGTGGCAGCAGTAAAAACTGTCTGAAAGGAAAACAAACACAGCAACATCAAACTGCAATTGCCTGCATAAGGCCAGGGACCACTATCCTCCAAGCATTCAAAGCACTAAGCCTTTACAAACTGCTCTGAATAACGTAAGTAACTTTAAGCCATTGACCTATTTATGGAAACAATCTATATGGCTTCCATATTAGAATACACCAATATCACACTCAGAATGTATGTCAGAAGTCCAATACCACACTATAGAATTATTCATTGTAATTACAAAGTATACAACAGTCCATCGATTTAATGAGTTCATATCGTGTACCTGAAATTTCCTTCATCTTCATTATCACTCTGTAGAAGATCATCATTCAACTCTTCATCTGACAAATCCGACTGATTCTAATTCAAACAAGAAATTAATTAATATGTGTCACTTCCATAAAAAGACTTGTTACCAAGCACAAGCTTACTCTAAGAGGGTTGATTCTAACCTCTTGCCATCCAGAAGGTTTGTTCAGTCTGGCATTGCCTCAGAGAATCCAGAGAGCCCACAAACAGCCTAGTGGCTAACCCCTGAGTATTTTTTAAATGCCACAGGCAAATAAGTCAAGCAGCAAGTATAACAGTCAAATTTATTCTAATTCTGCCATAAAAGAATAAGGTTAAGAAAGACATCCACGGAAGGGAACTGCTGAACAGTTTTTCCACCAAAATACTCACAAGAATGGCCTTAAAATGACTAACAATGACAGAAACAAAAAACTGAAATTTTAAAATAATGTAAGAGATACAAATCCAATATAAGCTGCTTTTAAGATCACTGGGTTGGAAATTAAACCAATTAGGAAAATAACTTTGGCTTCTCCATATAGATGACAAGAAAAAAACAAATAACTCAGCTCTTTCATTGTTGTCACTCATATCTAATTAATATGCAATGGCAGCAGAGTGATTTGCTAGAGTTCGAAATTCTAGGCTGGGTTAAATATGTCCCAATATTATAGATTGTGGAGTGGTTCAACTTTCCTCCTCTACTAAAAGAAGTCTAAATGGGGTATATCCTTCCAAAGGGTAGTGTGTGTGTGTGTGTGTGTGTGTGTGTGTGTGTGTGTGTGTGTGTGTGTGTGTGTGTGTGTCTCTCTCTCTCTCTCTCTCTCTCTCTCTGTGAAGAAAGAGAAACTGACTATTTTCTACTCCTTAAATAAACAATCAGTCTGATATCTACTGCTTGCAAAAATAGGTTAAACTTGACTGTGTTTGTTTATTACAGTACTTCTGATAGTCAAAAATAATTCTAGGAAAATTTATTAGCTCAAGAGACCTCATCTATCTCTAGAGTCAAATAAGCTACCCAAAGCTATGCTTCCAACACAGCAGGATGGATCTAAATGAGAAAAAAACACAGTAATTCACAGACCCAAAATAAATTTGCAGTTAGTGATACAGCCAGCCATCTCAAAGGGCCAGTGCTGACAGTGAAGCAGTCAGTCCCACAGATAACCTCAGGGAAAGCTTTACAATTACTAATCCAGTGAACTTCAAGGACAGCTGCATCACTGTGTGTGAAATGTGTATGCATGGCTGTGTGCTGTATATTTAAACTTTAGGGGCTGCTTCAGTGTGTGTTGAGTGCACACACATGAAAAAACACATATTTAAACTTCAAGGGGATTCTGTGTGTATGTATGCACTTGTGTGTTTAAACTCCCAAGTACCAGTTCCAAAATCATTCAAGTAGTAATTTATCAAACAAGCAAACAAATGAAATATATGTTGCGGTAGGTCCCAGAAGTCATCAAATCTCAGTTCCAAGGATTGAGCCTTTCAATTCCAAGCCTACTGAGTAACAGACACTGGAGGCAGAAACACCCACGTCCCTAGAAAAGCTTTAATCCTCAAAGGGAAACACTAAAGCAGAGAAGCCAGAGATGGTTTTCAGCACATCCCACTGAACTGGAGGGAACTGTTTTTCAGGTAAGCAGAAAGGCTGGGAGAATTCTCAGTCAAGAAGAAAGCAAGGCTTGCAGATCCCAGGCAAGAAATACAGAGTGGCAGTGAGTGCTTATGAAATACTCTGTCTCATCTTCCCAGGAAAATATAAAAAAGTTCCCTCCCAAACTCCTAAGAATGAGGACTTTCCACGGGGTATCAGAGGTTTAAAGATGGGACAAAAAGGTCCTCAAACATTCTCCAACATTGGCACTTATAATAGAAATTTCTTGGTGTAGTGCAGACATGAGTTGATGCCAAGGTAAAACAGATGAAGGAAGTACTTACAAACAATCGGCCTAGCTCCACCTCAGCCATCTTCTTCCTCAGTTTGCAGCCTTGACTTGCCTTTTCAACACAATTAAACCCCAGCCCTGTCACAAGGGCCTACAGGTTACTGTTACAGTGGAAGCAGAGTGCAGGCACCCAGAGCGGTCACAGACAAGAGCAATAAACTTGCTAAATAAATACCTTGAGAAAGGTCCAATCTTACTAGAAATCAAATAATTATGAACCGAACAACTAATCTGTAGCTGGTGAGGTCATGGACCCTAGAGGAGGACCTACTACTGCCACTTCCCTAAACCAGTATGTCTCAGATAGGGTTTCTATTGCTGTGATGAAACACCATGACTAAAAAGCAAGCTAAGGAAAGGGTTTATCACATTGAAGTCCATCATTAAAGAGGATCACAGGAACTCAAATAGGGCTAGTACCTGGAGGCAATAGCTGATGCAGAGGCCATGGAGGAGAGATGCTTACTGGCTTGCTCCCCGTAGCCTGCTCAGCCTGCTTTCTTAGAGAACCCAGGGCCATCAGTACAGGGGTTAGACCACCCATAATGCACTGAGCCTTTCCCCATCAATCACTAATTAAAAACATGTCTTACAACTGGATCTGATGGAGGTATTTTCTCAACTGAAGCTCTTCTTTCAGCTAACTCTAGTTTGCATTGACAAAACCAGTCAGCACACAGTGTAATTCCCAACTTCATTCTAAAGACCGATTTTATATGCACAAATAAATGCACCTCTCACCCCTCATCAAGAAGAATTCTTTTAGCAGCTGACAAAGACCATTACAGAAATCTACAACTGGTCAAAATGCAGAAAAGTGATTGTGGGGTGTCTATCCCCAATTGATACACCTACAACACAAGCCCTCCAGGTTCAGGTTCAGGGAGCATCAGGGAAGAGAGGGCAAAAGACAGTAAGTGACAGAGAGCCAGGACATCAGCAATCAGACAGTGTCGTCTATATATGTCAGGGAGTTGTGCCCATGAACTCTTAACAATGGTCATCTCAACAAGACCTACGCGATGATAACGTGGATGGGGAAGTCTTACAAGGCCCCATCCTAGAAAAGCAAACAAGGGCAATGGCTGCTAAAGACAATCAATTCAGGGACCAGCTCTCCTGATAGGTTATCTAATCCCAAGTCGTCAGCCTTAAACACATGTACATATAAGCTATATGAACTCAGAGGGTTGTATATATGTGTGTTTGTATTTATCAATAATAATTAAAGAAAGGATCAAGACATCAGAGAAGCTGGAACGGGGAAAAGGTGGAGGGGGAATATTGTATTTATAGTGCTTATATATAAAATTCTCAAGAAAAATATAAAAGAACATTTATTGGTATTTTTAAAGTTGCTATGATTTAGACACTGCATAACTACTCCCCAGGATTCAAATGTTGAAATGTGGAAGATTGCATGAGCCCAAAACCAGGGGACACATAGGCTAATGAGCGATAGAATGGGGGAGGGGGGATACAGACACTGTCATCTGACTAAGAACCCTAAATGACATTCGATTACTAGAGAAAATACTGATGAGGCCTAAGAGCTTAACAGATAGAGAGACAGCAGGACAGAGATAACTCCACAGTCTAGTAAGTCTACTATACTGTCTTAACTGCAAGTGTAATAAGCTTCAGTATAGTTCTTAACAATGTAAACCCTAGCAATTTTAAGACTTGAAAATGAAATATAAAGAATTATGTTGAGGACCTGGGGAGAAGGCTCAATGAAGTGTTTACCACACAAGCATAAAGACCTGAGTTTAATTCCCAGCACCATGTGAAAGTCAGGTGTATCAGCAGCATGAACCTATAATTCCACCACTAGAGAGGTCAAGACAGAAGATCCCTTGGACTCCCTAACTAGTCAGCCAGTCTAGCCAAAACGGTAAGTTCCGGGTTCAATGAGGAAATCGGTCTCAAAAATAAGGTGGCGGCACCTGAACAAAGACATGCAGCAGCATCCTGTGGCCTCCACAAGCACACATGAACACAACAAAGTACATACATGTAACATGCACACATGAACACACCAAAGTACACACATGTATATGCATAACCTCCTTCTCACACATAAACATTTGTACACACTCACAAGCACCATTTTAAAATAATTGTGCTAATATTAAGTGAAAACAGAAAATATTTTAAAACTATTCAGTGAACCAAAAGAAAAAAAAAAAGGTCAATTCACTGTAGGGGATCCAGGGAGGTGGATCAGTGAATAAAGTACTTGCCGGTCAAGTGTAAGAGCTATGGATCAGATTCCCAGCACACAAGCAAAAACTGGGTGGGCACAATGGTCCAGTTGTAACCCAAGAGCTTGGCAGATGGGGCAAGCTAAGAGCAAGAATAGTTGGATCATATAGCTTCAGGTTCAGCAAGAGACCTTGCTTCAATAAACAGAGAGAAGAATGACATATAAGAGATGGAGATTGTCAACCTCTGACCTTCACATATACCCACGCAAGCTCCCACACAAAAAAAGGAAAACAAAAATTATCACTTTCACCTCTTGCTTCACATTCTAATTTCCGCATGATTTATTAAACAGATCAGAAGTATATTTTAGGCAGATACACACATATAAAAAGGTTTAGAAAAGTTTCCAAGAGAACTTCTAACTGTATGTATATGCAGATCTATTATGTAATACAGTTTGGCAAGTCTACCTTTAAGCTATCAGTGAATACTCCCCAGGAGTGCATTCTAGAATCATAAAATAAAGTACACATCTAGAAATGTTATATTCCTTTAAACGTATGTTTCATGCTACTGTTATCCCAATTCTGAAACCTGCTAGATAGAGTGCACTGGATACAGTAGGAACTAAAATACTTGCTCCCCATAGCAATATCCACAGCATCTACTAATAAGCACATTCTGCTGGGTTGGAGGAGTAACTCTAGGATAGAATACATGCTGAGCATTTGTGAGGCTGTGCTGTTGGCTGTTTTATTCTTTTGGCTCTTTGTTCTTTGGGGGCTCACCACCCAGCTCCCAAATAAGTACACATAGAGATTCATTATTACTTATGGCATGCCCAACCTTAGCTTGGCTTATTTCTAGCCAGCTTCTCTTAAATTATTCTGTCTACTCTTTGCCTTTGAACTTGTACCTTTATCCTATACTCCTTTCTTTACTTCTTACTCCATGGCTTGCTGTGTAGCTGGGTGGCTGGCCCCTTCTTTTCTCATTCTTTGATCCAATTCTTCCGGATTTCCCTTCTCCATCTGCCAGCCCCGCCCATCCTTTCTCCTGCTTTGCTATTGGCCATTCAGCTCTTTACTAGACCAATCAGGTGTCTTAGACAGGCAAAGTAACACCTTCACAGAGTTAAAAAAATAGAACATAAAAAAGAATGCAACATATCTTTGCATTTTTTGTGCTACACAACATAAAAAAATGGAACACATCTTAAAATATCCCACAGTAGCTCTCAGTCAGTCTACAGCAATACAACAATCACTCCATTTACAAATTCTAGTCCATGCTCAGCTTCTGGAAATTCATTCCATGTACAAGTAAGTGATGGTGGTGTGTCCCTATTTTAGGTACAATTAAATAATTCTTCTAAGTGACCTTATTTCTTACCTTTTTTCCAGACAGTAAATCTTCTCCAAGCAAGTCATCTTCCAATTCACTGGGGAAAGAGAAATGCAAAATGTCACTACTATCAGACTAGAAAATGAAAGTCAATCAGATATCCAGTAGAGACTCCAGGGTATTGGAACTTTCAGGTAGCTATACTACACTTTCCTTCCTCTATGTTAATAAAGATATTTTCAAGGACACAGGGACAAGTCTTTGTCATCTGAGGTCAGGCTCAACACAGAAGATGGCTTACTAGACTTAGGCCGAGGTTTGGCAGCACAGTACAGTCTTTAATCCCTTTGTAGCTGCTTAATAATCAGCAAAACACGAGATACATACAAAGGAATAGCTAAGCTTTCTCCTATCTTTAAAAACTTAGGATTGTAAAGGTGCTCAATACCATTAATCGGGAAGAAAAAAAAAACCCACATGAAATAATCCAATACTCATTAAATTAGCTGGAAACAAAAGGAAGGAATTTAAAATAACTGAGCTGAAGTGGTAGCTCAGCTGTCAAGAGCACCTCCAGCTTTTGCAGAGTTCAGTTCCCTGCACCCATGTCAAGCAACTCACTGTCACCTTCAATTCCAGCTCCATGGAAATCAAACACTCCTCTTCTGGCCTCCAATGGCACTACACTCACTCACATCTCGCAAGAGACAGAGAAACACACACACACACACACACACACACACACACACACACACACACACACACACACCATGCATGTATGTGCATACATAAATTTTTAAAAATCTAAATTTAAAATAACTTTATAAAATTATATGTAGTTAACTAAGGCATGTGGGTGGAAATCACAGTAGTCACCTACCATGTTTCCCAACATGCTTTTGTGCTGAAGTGAGTAGGTGCATATTTTCTCCAGGCTCCAGAGGGAACCTTTAACACATCAAGAAGCTTGAAATACCTTCACTGAATTTTTAAAATTTTTTTATTATTCAGGGTTACGTAAGTCCATTTCCATTCAGGTATATAAGGTATTCCCTCTTCTCCCCATTCCCTTTGTTCCTTAGCAGTTCTATTTCTACATTCTTAGCACCAGTACATATTGTGATATACATATAACATCTAGGCCCTCAAAGCAGAGAAAACACATTAAAACAGTATTTTTGATAAGAGAAAAAATGGCTATCACTAGATTGGGCTCAGGTTAACAAATTCTATTGGTTTTGAGATTAACACTAGCACGAATTTACTATTTTAGTGTGTTGCTGAACACAATACTAGGAGCGCTACGAATGCAGAGATGGAGTTGTAAAAGAAATGCACACTCCCATAAAACCTGACAAATCATTCAGTTCACATGCTAGGCTCTGTAAGTTACCCTGTAATTAAGTCTCATACCTTCACTTCAAAAACAGAAACATGGACAAGACCTGCCAAAAGTCACACAAAGGAGAGATACAAGGCAAGGACTTCAAAAACCACCTTTCTAGCTGGGTTTGGTGGCACACAGTTCTAATCCCAGCACTTGGGAAGCAGGGGAAGATGGATCTCTGTGAGTTTAAGGCTACCCTGGTCTACTAAGAGTTCTAGGACAGCCAGGACTACACAGAGAAACCCTGTCTCAAAAAACAAACAAACAAAACCACCTTTCTGACTTCTGCACAGTTCCTCCCAACATTTTAAAGCCAGTAATATCTGGGATTTGATTATTTACTATGTTATATTCCTCCTGTGAAGGCAGGAAAATAAGCTGCCAGCCAATGCCCTATTTGAGAACCTGATCCTACATGACCAAAAACATGCAAGTACCTCTTTGAAAATGAGGATCCCTCCTTGCCACAGCTTTAAGCAATGGAAAGTGGAAGGTGATACCAGGTTCCCAAGACACTAATTGGGATGGTAATAAGACAGGTATTCATAATTACAGCAAAAACTACAAAGGATATGCAACTTTTGCTAAGTAGCAAAAGCATTTGAAAATAAGAAACCAATTCTTAATGACTTTTTATTTAATTAGTTGTCAGTCATCTGGCTACGTATGACAGCATGGCCATTGCTTGAAAGTCCAGTCTCCTGCTTTCCTGGCTCCTGTGCACTCTAGTCCCTTTCAACCCATTCTAGACAGCCTATGTCCTCCAGAAACGGCTCACACAAGCTGTCCCTACCTCTGGCTTCTGGATTCAGTCAAACTAATGGAAAACACCTAGAGAAATGTCACCAAGCAGAAAGATAGAAATCAACTCCCTCACCCCCACCCCCAAACACAATCCAAGGCAGTATAAGATCAACCCCACCACCACCACCACAGCTTTCCTGCCTCCCAAACCTGCCTTCCTCTAGGGCCTGGGTAGGAACTACTATATTCTGGGTGCCCTGCTGATCCTTTAAGCCCACTCCCTAAATAAACATTCATTAAATGATTATCAGTTAAGACCTTCTCAGTGTGCTCCTGTCTTGCTTGAACTTGAGTTTTTTTCAGATGCTGAGCCAGCATCGTGGTATTATCTTGCAATCTCCACTGATGCAACATGAGAGCAGGTTTTTGTACCAATCACTCTTCCAAACTTCTCCATTATGCAAGCAGGCAGAAGGTGTTTTATGCTTAAACAGTATCAAAAATATGCATAACACTGAATCTTGAATGTGCAAACATCTTCCTGCAGGCCATGTGGGAACAGAAGCTGGTTCATAAACACAGACAACTGCTTCCCATTCTGAGGAGAGTAATAGAACCAGGCTGTCTTACACCATAACCAAAACCAGCACGGCAGGCAGGCAGGCAGGCAGGCAGGAAAGGGGAGGGGAGGGGAGGTTCCAACTGAGAAACTATTAGGACAATCTGACCACCACTAAGAGAATAGCTATAGCAAATTAAAACACAACTGATTTAAGAGTCTATGACTTAAAATTATTCTAAAACAATGCTCAGGAGTGGAAGATGTTACAGGTAATTACTCTGGAAATGGGGAAATGAATATCTCCTGTCTGTCTGTGTCTTGGAAGAACTTCCTAGTTAATAGACACATTACAGAAACCAAACCACTGTGACTACTTCAAGTTCTCCAGAACTTAAAAGTACATGACAGACACAAGAGACTTCCACGTATCTTTACTAAGACCTCAATGCAAGCAATCTCTACACCTGTATTCATTTACATAACATAAGGAGTTATACTATCTAAAAATAAGCAGTCAAGCAGAAATCGTTGGACATATAGTGTTTTGTTTCTTTCACAAGGAACTAAAGACTTCAGTTTTGATAAATGGCCTCCAAAGGCCATGACTCAGGTAAAGACATGGTCTCTTGAAAGAACAATTCTCTTTCAGCCATTTTCGGATTCCTCTGTTGAAAATTCTCTATTTAGTTCTGCACCCCACTTTTTAATTTCATTGTTTGGTGTTTTGGTGACAGCTTCTTGAGTTCATTGTATATTTTGGAGATCAGCCCTCTGTCAGATGTGGGGTTGGTGAAGATCTTTTCCCATTCTGTGGGCTGTCGTTTTGTCTTACTGACTGAGTCCTTTGCCTTACAGAAGCTTCTCAGTTTCAGGAGGTCCCATTTATTAATTGAAGATCTCAATGTCTGTGTTACTGGTGTGATGTTCAGGAAGCAGTATCCTGTGCCAATTCGTTCAAGGGTATCTCCCACTTTCTCTACTAGAAGATTCAGTGTGGCTGGATTTATGGTGAGATCTTTGATCCATTTGCACTTAAGTTTTGTGAATGGTGACAGATATGGACCTATCTGCAATCTTCTGCATGTCCAAATCCAGTTGTGCCAGCACCATTTGTTGAAGATGCTATCTTTCTTCCATTGTATAGATTTAGCATCTTTGTCAAAAATAAGGTGTTCATAGGTGTGTGGGTTAATATCAGGGTATTCAATTCTATTCCAGTGGGCTATCTATCTATTTTTGTGCCAATACCAAGCTGTTTTCAGAACTATGGC